GATTGTGGGATATGATTGTAATGTGTGCGTTATAAGAAATGATGAGCAGGTAGATTTCAGAAAACCCTGGACTTACATGAACTAACGCTGAGTGAAGTGAGCAGAACCAGGAGAACCTTGCACACAGTAACAGTAACATTATGCAAAAATCAACTGTTATAGACTTACCTCTTCTCAGCAATACAATGATCCAAAACAATTCCAAAAGACTCATAATGGAAAATGCTTATGGAGTCTGACTGCAGATCAAAGCACACTATCTTCACTTTTTTTTTCATGGTTTGTCCTTTTTGTTCTGTTTCTTCTTTCACAACATGACTAATATGGAAATATGTTCAACATGATTGCACATGTATAACCTATATCAGATTGTTTGCTGTTTTGAGGAGGCGAAAGGGGAGGGAGAAAAATTTGGAACTCAAAATCTTATTAAAAAAAGAATGTTGAAAGCTATCTTTACATTTAATTGGAAAAAATATTATTAAAAAAAAAGACCATCCATGTCTATATTTTGTAGGGTTTTTAGCCTAAAAAGAGTTCATACCTTGTCAAAGGCTTTTTCTGCATCTATTGATTTGATAATGTGGTTTGGGGTGTTTTGGTTTTTAATATGATTACATTGTTTTCCTAATGATGAACCATCCTTGCATCCTTGGTATAAATCCCACTTCGTCATAATGAATGATTTCTTGGATAAATCCTGAAGTCTGTTTGATATGATTTTGTTTTAAATTTTTGAGTCAACGTTTATTAATAATACTACGCAACACTTTCAACAATCCCAAGTTTCTCTCCTAAACTCACACAAAGCCCCCTATTTTATTCAACTCTAGCATTTATTAAGCACCTACTATGTGTAAGGCACTAGAGACACAGGAAAAAAAATGAAATTCCCTGTCTTCAGAGAGCTCACAGTGATTTGAACCAAGTAACACCATGTTGTCTCTAGTAACAACAGATGGATAGCCCAGGTGCTGCCCTGTTTTTTATGAAATGCCATAAGACCTAGGAGAACTAGGAGAACCGCACAGACTGAGAAGGTATGGATGTGCTGAGCTTTGTACCTGTGGAGGGAGTACCATGCCTGGGATCACCTATCCATCGCAGAGCACTTTGGGCCACTAAACTTGAATTCTTGCTTGGCATTATCAAGCCCCACCTGGTTTCTTCTGAAATACCAAGTAGGCACATGCTATAGTGCAAGCACAGGTGTGTTACACATAAATAAACATGTGAATATAGCTTGTGTCACCATGAGGGGAAGAACATGTAGCCATTCTTGCCAAACTCTTGTGCCCAGCCATGAAGTGTGGGATGCGTGTTTTGTCCAAAAAGTTGAGAGAGATTAGAAAAGATAATGGGAGCACAGACACATCTTAGTTTAAGATTATTTATTTCTGTAAGTCAAGCTGATACAAAATCCCCCGTACAAAGGCTCAGGTAGGTATTGCATAGAAAGAGCTGAGCACCAAGGGTCATATAGGAGCCCCAGGGTAGATGCAGGAGCAGAATGAAGAGTACAAAACAGCCTAGAAGAAATCAGACTGGAGAGACCTGCCCTTCTGGCCATCAGGCAGCAGGAGTCCCTGCCCCATGGTCTAATCTGAATCTGGGTTTATAAGGCTGCTCCTTAAAAACACACAGAATTTAAGGGGGCTCTCTGAATTCTTATCTACCTAGTACCCCTTTTTCTCTTTCAGAATTCTTCAAGCATGACTGAACTGAGGCTTTTTGGTAGGTGCTTTTATCACTACCTGTTACTTCTCCAGCGACATCTTTAAATACCTCATCATGGTAGAAGGGGACCCAAGGCTCTCAAAGGCTATGCTAGCAAAGCAGAAGTACAGGCAGGTCCTAGCCAAGTGGAAAGGCCCCAAGCATGGGCCCAGTAATGGACTGTTCATCAATTGTCTAGAGACCAGCCTGCTTAAATGGAGAGAAAGGCTCAACATTGGAAAGCCGACCAAGAAGTGATACATTTTTTGGCCACAGCAGTCTATGAAACTGCTTGTTAAGTAGGGAGGTGTTTGGGTTTGCATGGCTGGAAGGTGTGCCTAGGCCTTGAAAACACAGGTCCTTAAATAAGTCCCCCAGTGCCCCAGAGGGCACTTATGGCCCTAGTCCAAACTGCTCTATAGTCATGACTCCACACCCCACCTTCCCAGGGATGTTGAGAAGTTTGCACAGAAGAGACGACCACCACAGTCATAACAATAACAGCCTGACAACTCCTCCTTTACTAAAGAAGGTCCCAGTGGTATCTCCTCTTCCCTCTGAAACCTCCCCACAAGACCAGGCTCTTCATGCAGAGAGCCCAATCTACAGTGTACGTGGCCACCTGCCCCAGCTGTATCCCATTGTGCTCAACATACTCTGTAAGAGCGACCCACACTTTCCTATTCTGCTCTGGGGTTCAACCCACTTAGCTTGAACTCCGCTGGCCCAACAACACAGCTAGATTCGATCCTCTCCTGCAAAGAAGAAACTCCACAACACTATATATGCTGGGCTAAATGCAGTGAAAACACCCAAAAGAAGGAAATTTCCCAAAGAATAGGGACAACCACCTATGGGAGAGCTCTTAGTGCTTAGAGGGAGGTCAGGAAATATCAAAGTCATGTGGGGAACACACTGTGCTGTACTTTTGACTCAAATTATCCATTTTTATTTAAAAACATGCTAAAAATGTGGCATCAAATAACAAAAGCCAGGCAGGAAGGAGGAAAAGCACAGACAGACCATTGCAAGCAGAAAAGTGCATCAGAAACCAACAAGCCTATTTTCCCTTACTGCCCCCATGGGAAGGTTAGAGGGATTTGGAGAGGGTGGGAGTCATCTATCACCCAATGCCTCTTTAGAAAAGTCCTGCAAGTTGAAGTGAGATGGTAAGGAGGCCAGGGTTCCTCACCTTGAGGAATATTGCTTTGTTGTGGATGGAAGGGAAAAAGGAATGGGGAGAAGACTGAATGAGAGGCAGAGAGAGGATGGACTTAGGGAGGCTGAAGGACACACCATTTCCCCTCCTGTTGCTGTGTCCCTGTGTGTTAGCACCTCCACCTGAAGGTGGTCAGGGGACTAGAAAGGGTAAAAACATATCAGTTCTTTTGAGCCACTGGTGCTTCAGAGATCCAAGATGAGGCAAAGAGAGGCTGCAGAACTGGAGGTCAAGGTCTAGAGTGAAGCAGGATGTGTTTTAGTTTAGGGGCTGGCACATGTTTACAAGATAGGAACCCACCTGGAAGGGTACTGCCTAGGGGAGGGGGCTCTGAGTACTGACTCTTCTAGCACAGGAGCAGTGGCAGTGATGTTCATGCCATAGACTGCTGAATCCCTGCTCAAAACAGTCCCTATCTCTACGTTTCGAATCTTTTCCCCCACCTATATCTCACCCTCCCCTTCCTGGCCCTCCTCTGTATGAGGAATACAACTTAAATAAAGCTGAAATGTTTTGGCGAAACATTAGGTCTACATTAGGCCTAAAACTCACTCTGGGACCTTCTGAAATCACTTATTCCTCTGAGTTATTTAAACAACTCAAATACTGTTGATTAATTAATTTATTTACTGGTGGGAGGGGGGAGAAGTATTTTGGGGGCAGTAGGTTTGTAAATGCCACCACCAGAGTTGACTAAGTCAACTCACATCTTCAGCAAAGGAAATTAGGTGTTCATTCCAAACTGTCCCATAGAATGATGCTGAACCAAGCATCATTGACCTCAGGTGGTATCACTGGTTCTATGGGATAGGCAGCATGGAGCAACCCACTTGTTTAAAGAAGCAATGAGAACACCTGTCCAAAGGGAATTTGCTCTAATGTAGACTCGGAAAGTGGTTGAATAGCCATGCTTAGGGAGACTTCAATGGACTGAACATATCGAAAGGAGAAAGCAGACAGGAAAGAAGGAAAGGGAGAGACTGTGGCTGCTGACAAGCTAGGAAAAGGCCCATGAAGCCTCCCAGAAAAAAAATTAAGTCTTACAGGGAGGCCCAATGCCACCACTGCTCTAGGCATTCTTGCTGCTGAAATTAACACAAGTTTAAAATTGCATCAGCATAGGCATAACCAAACCCATTTCATGCCAAAAACTTAAGATACACCAGATCCAACTCTGTGCATCAAAAACCAGTGCACCAAAGTCTCTCTTCTGTGTCATCTCCCACCAGGCTGGATGAGTTGCTCAAGCAGGTAACTGAAACTCCTTACCAGGAAAAAAAAGGCCAAAAAAAGCTAGTAATGGAGGTATGAAGGAGAGTAAGGATGAGGGGTAGGGAATAGGGGGAGAGGGGAGGGAACAGAAGGAAAGGGGAAGGAACAAGGGGAGAAGGGAAAGAACAAAGGGAGGGGGAGAGAACAAGGGGAGAAGGAAGGGGACAGGTAGAGAGGGAGGGGACAGGTGTAGAGGGAGGGAAAAAGGGGAGAAAATAAAAAAAATTTAAAAGACAAACATAGAAGAATTAGACCTTGCCATTCTTGGTTTGATGGTGAGGAAGTTATCTCTTTAATAGCAGCATCTTTTATCATTGCCATGGTATTTTGTCCTAAAGAGGATACGACTCCTACACTCCACCTTTGAGAGACTCCATCACCACTAACCCTGGCAAGCAAATTGGGGGTGGGGGAAGGAAAGAGGGAAAGGAAGAAAGCTTTGGCCAAACCAGAACATTTGCACTCCTGGTCCCAATTTGTATGACGTGTATAGTAAACCAATGGTCAGGGATCTGTTGGTTATGCTAGCATTTCTCAAGTAATAAAAAGGAAAGACAGATGAAAACTAGATCACTGACCTGGCCCTAGTGTGTGAGCCTATGAGGAACCCAGATCATAGGAGCTCTCTTCTGTGAGATTCTCAGACTTTTCCCAGGGTTGGTTACCAATACCAACAAAGAGGGGTTAGGGGTGGGGGGTGGGGGTTGTTTTGTTAAGGACAAATTTTCCACTAGTCCCTTTTCATTTTTGCATAGCTTTGCAAACACTACAAATTGGGTTTTACTCTTCTGTATTTTTTTTTAATGGATGTACATTGGTTGTTTTCATGTTTCATTTTGTATTAATTCCTCCTTGATTAGAAATAGGGAATGGAAAGCAGTGTGTCCTATGATTATGATGGAGCATTATCACTCCACATGCTACGAACCCACAGGAGGGAGACTAGATTTCTGATAATATCAAGCACTGGAGATCTCTCACTAAAATGATACTCCACGCCTTGGGGGAGTAACTCACCCAGCCGTGTATCTGGGGATCCAAAGGTATATTTAGGGCCCTGTTACCTGGGGTAGCAGATTCTGAATCTGTCTGGGCTTCATGTTCCTTTGTCGAGTCAGGGAATTGTCCTAGACAATCTCTGAGATCCCTTATAACACCTCCATCTGTCCTTTCCTTTGTGAAAAGCAGCAATATGTGAGAAATGCAGCATTTGAACTACCGAGGTATATGTTCAAAAGTTCTAACAGGAATGTTTAGGGGGAAAAAAGGGGAGGTCTGGGAATTTGATGTGGGAATGACCGAATGGAGTGAAGGGAGAGTCTCCCATGCCAAAGATGGTTGGGAGGGAAGGATAAAAAAAAGACAAAGACAAAAAGTAAAGACAAAAACAAAAAACAGCAGCAGATTTATCCTAGCTCAGGCCATAGTTCCTGGTAAAGAGATTAGCAAGAAATACTGCAAGCTCCCTTATTACCTCCTACCCCCTGGTTCCCACCCAACTCAAATCCATATTGGTTCTGTCTTCCATTGGCACTGATACTGGATCCTTTTTGCCTCTTGCTTGACCCCTGAACTTGCTTCACTTCACAAAAGCCAAAATACTGGGAGCAAAAGACTCCAAGCCCCAGAGGAAAGTCCTTGAGAGAACCATGGACCTTCCTGTCTAGATCCTCACAGAGGTGAAGGAACTGAGCCAATCCTAGCTTTCTCAGCACAGCCAGCTAATCTCATCCTCTCTATACCGCAAAAAAAAAAAGAGAGAGAAAAAAAAAGAAAAGAAAAAATCTAGTATATCTTTACCAAGGTCCTCCCAAGCGTTGCACAGTGTTTTTTCCAGATTAAAACCAAATGGATACCCTCCCACCCATCACTACCCCCCACCAAAAAACCAAGAAGTCAAAGAAATCAATATAGTAAAAAGTTATAGATCAGAAAGCTAACCCTAAAGGTATTTGGGGAATACTGATCCCAAATGATCAAAATTAGGATAAAATAAAATGATAAAAAAAGATACGTCATAGGGTACAAAATGCCTCAGAAAGAACATTGCCTGGGGCCCCTTACTTAAAATGGTTGGGCCTCCCTGTCCCTCCCTCCCATTAAGTCTTCCAGGTCTCCAGACTAGAGGTGGGGGTGAGGTGTGGCTATAAGCAGAAATAGAAGAGGCTGTGTCCCTTGAAAAGGAGCAGGGAAGTGAAAAGGAAGAAGCCCCCCAGCAAGGATTAGGGTCCACCTCCTCCTCCTCCTCCCTATCCTCTTCCCCTATGGGTCAGGCAAAGTGTCAGTGCGTAGAAGAAGGGCAGGAGGTAAAGGAGAGCTAAGGAGGGATTAGTGTCATATTGGAGTTTGCTCTTTTAGCATCTCCCATCACTCTACCTCATCCTCTCCTCATCCCTCCATCTTCTTTGGCAAAGAAACAGATGTGGATGCAGAAAAGTCCCACCCCCCCACCCTCAACACACACACACAACTTCCCATCTCCTGAGGTTTCCTTCCCACTCTCCCTACCCACCCTGCCCACCCAACAAAGAAGTCTATAGATGATTCAGGAAGGGTGGGGACATCGATCTGTTGGACAGGACAAGGTTGGGTTATGCATAGGAAGGGATGGCAGTCTGGTGTTCAGGAGGCTACAAAAGCACAATTCTTCCCCGGTGTAGAGAGAGTGTGGATGGTACTCCCAACCAGTTGGCTTAGGCATCATATTTTTTACCAGTTCGGTGGATGTGCTGGAAGAGTGTCATGGAGAAGGCCATGCCTAGAATCTAAAAGACAAAAAAGGACGATGACCTGAGATTAGAAACACCCATTATAAGTTGTAGTATATGATTATGATGGAATACTATTATGCTATAAGAAATAACAAGGGGAACGGTTTCAGAAGAACCTGGGAAGACTTATATGAATTGGCCAAGCAATCTAAGCAGAACCAAGAGAACACCGTACACAATTAACAGCAATATTGTAATGATGATCAACTTAAGGAGACTTTCTGTAATTTTTCATGTCGGTGGCCCAATCCTGAATCACTCTCATAAGCCCCTCTATTTCTATAGACAAACTGACATGATACAGACATGTGTCTAATATGTCACTGGTGACATAATGTTGGTTGAATTTATGAGGATATTGCTCATTGACTTTTGATTTTATTCTTGAATCTTCACCATTTCATAGGCTCCATAAGGATAAACCACTTTCAGTTACACTGGACAAATCCAATGGCATATATCTGTTGTCAGCTTTTACTATTGTTTTATGAAGTAAGGTCTATTTGTTCCAAAAGTATTTCCATAATTATTTTAAAATCTATTTATCTTGTATTCCGAAAATACTGATCCTTTTCCTCCTTTTGGGCAAGGAAATGTTAATCTTTCCATTGCTGCCTTTAGCCTGGTGTTTCATTAACACTATAGAAGATTTCATCTGGACACCTTCTAGATCCATTGTTATCCATTTTACCATGCCAAAAATACATAAGGCTGATATTATGTAGGTGTTAATGTTCTAAATGTGTACTTCCCATTAAGTTTTGACTTCACCCCTCTATGGTTCCAGTCAGTCTCTTAACTCTCAGCCTCGAGACTCCTTGAAAGTCATGCTCAATGACTCTCATCTGGAGAGGACCAAGGAACATGAAAGTACTGCCTTCCATTGGCTCAATTTCAGCTCTGGATTCAAACTCAAAACCTTTGGTCTCTATTCTTCCTTAATGTATGTTTAAGAATTTTACATCTGTTGAGTCCAAATGACATTTTGACATCATTTGGTAAAGTTACCACAAGATGAAGTATCCATTTAATGGGCTTTTCAGTGGAGCCACGTATAGGCAAATGATTAATAGTATGTTTTGGTATAATTTTCTATTTGACTAGAAAGCCAAACTCTGTTCTGTTAAACAGTGGGTTTAATACTAATTGATTCTCTAGAAGATGCCACCTTTTATGTCAATTGTCCTTGACAGTGTGTTGGTGGCATGTTTTAAACAGAGAAGAGTCTAGCATTTTCAGTACTGTCAATTTCATTTATTTGCAGTACATGACTTAGTGCCATGAGTGTGGAACTGAGTTAAAGGCTTTGTGATAATCAATAAAAGAGGTAAAAATTTTATGGCACTTTCAAATGTCTCGTTCAATAATCACTGAATTGATAATGAGTTGCTGTTTATACCCCTGAGACTTTTTGGCACAACTTTTTTGCTCCTGAATCAAAATATTGATTTTCTGAAAGAGTTTATAGATTTTTTGAGAGATACAAGCTGTGAAAGCTTTGTATAAAGTACATAAACATGTAATTGGAGGGGTCACTGGCATTCTCATCTTTTGGTAATGTCTTTTGTTAAGAATAATGGGATCAGGTTTACATCAAAGATAAAACTGATAAAACTTTTATTAGTAATTTCATACTCTACTGTAAAGTTGTGGGTAGATATAATGCCACTGTAATTGTCATCATCACCATCACCACCATCATCCTCTTCCTCTTCTATAATAATGATCATTCAGCCACCATCGCCACCATCACCACCATCATCCTCTTCCTCCTCAATAATAATAATCATTCAGCTCTACAGCTTACTGCTAGTATCACACAGGCACTATTGCTATCTGTTCATGTGTGTCTGAAATACAGTCATTGTTTTTAGTTTTTAGAGATTAAAGTCTAGAAATTAACATTCTAAAATAAATGGGAAGAAAAGATAGCCAATGCCCCCTAAGTCTACTGTGCTCCTCAACCCTAGGATGGAATAGAGGGTGTGGGAGGAAAAGGTAACCTATATCATACCTGCATGATGAGAATGCACATCCCCACTGTGCCCAAAACGTGCTTGTTGTCATCAAACCACGTCTTTACCTTCTCGTAACAGCCCTGAGGAGAGAGGTTCAGATGGGGTCAGGTTACATCAGCTGGCAGCTGGGCATAAGTCCATTCCTCAGCTCTCTGCCCCATATCCTTTCCCCTGTCCTTTCATTCTGCTTCTTTTGGTTATCTCCCTCAATCTCTACTCCTATTCCCACCCTGCTCTATGAACAAAATCCTAGAATGTTATTGCTGAAAGGGACCTCATACATTATCTAGTTTATAGATCAGGAAAGTGAGACCAGAGAGCTGAGGTGGCTTTCTATAGGTCACACAGTTTGGTAAGTGGAAGAACTGAGAATGAAAACCAATACCCTTTCTACTACAATGCTTCACAATTAGGACCCTAGTATACCCTACTTGGCTCCATGCCCAGCCCTGACTTAGTTCTTTCTTGTATCATTTTACTTCCTTTGGTGTCTAGCCTTACTCTTCTAACCTCAGCCCATGCCCATATGGTCTGCCATCTACTTACCTGAACCTAGTCCCAGCTTCATATGGGCTACAAAAGGGAACATGAGGCCAAATGGGACTGGTCACTTGTTTCCTTCTGGTCTTAACGCCCTAGTCTTCCCTCACTATTCAGATCTGACCTAGATTCACCCACTGATTCCTAGGAGGCAGGTGGGATTTGAGGAAGGTTTGATTTCTAGTCCTTACTGTTTTCCACACAAGGGTGGTAGAGTTGCGCCCACAGTCCTGGGAATTCTCCATGCAACAGCGGTCAGGAACTGTATTCTCTCCCAGCACAGGAAACCAATCTGTGAAGTCAGTGACACCACAGCATCGCATCTACATAGAGGAGAGGGAAGGAAATGGAAGTTAGAAGATACCATCTCCTACTCCTCTTCAGGTTATTATCTCTTAGGCTACTGCTAATAGATGACCATAGATGTTCAGTCCCTAGACACAAGTTAGTGTCTCTTCCCCTTTCCAGGTTACAGTTTGCCCCATCTGAGAAATGCAGCGTCATCTCACCGATCTCCTTCCTAGAGATAGAAGGATGAAATTTGTCATGTCCATAATGGGGCACTAAGATCCTCAAAGCTTGACCTAGAGAAGAGGTAGGTGAGATTCCTTCTCTTTTAGCGTGATCTCTTTTTGATTATCTGTGTGCATATAATGTGCTTTGTGGGTTAAATGTGGTAAATTTACAGTTCTTGGATGGCTTCTCCTTGCAAGTCCTCCCCATGCTTCCAAGGCTATATGAAACTGAGCATGTGCGGGCAGTGCCAAAGATAGTTCTTCATCTGAGTCTGAGCCCAATAAAATAAGGAAGGTAAATCTACTACAAGTATAAATCCCATCATACTTGCACTCCAAAACCACAAAAATCACTTAGAGCAAAATCACAGAATCTCTGTATTGGGAGGTACTTCATGGGGCATCTTCCAACCTGTATCTATTGGGCCCCTTCTCTGAAACAGCCCTTCCCACCCCATCTCTGAAGACCTCTAGAGAGACTATAACCCCAACCCCCTCCACTTTTACCCACAAAATTTGTCTCTCTATAACTTTCCTCCATTGTTCCTGGATCAATCACTCAGATCAAGCTGAACAAATGATCTTTTTCACATTTCAATCCTTCAAAAACTCTAAATATAAAGATTATCTTTATTTATTCTCAAAAACTCTAATATAAAGTTTCTATTTGGACTATCTGGCACCCTGATACCATCCTGACCATCTTATCAGCTAAGATTATCTACTGGGGCCTCCTGATATACCTCCATACAGCCTACCTGTAGCTTAGACCAGCTCTAATCCCAGCAAACCCTGCTCTCTGTTTCCTCAATCCTGATTCTACGGGTAGACTCCCTAATCCAGGCAGGGATGGCCTCCACAAAGCAGACCCTTGGATAGCATGCCCAAGGACAATGTTTTTCCTCTTCTTGTTAAAATGCAGAAAGTGCTATTTGCTTCCCAAACCAAGATACAAATGTCTTGTATTCCAAGGGTAATCCTCGACCCCTCCCAAACCTCCTGATTTCACTCCCTAGGTGTTTGGCATCACCTCAGCTTGAATGATGTTCCAGGCATTTTTCAGTCCCACATTATTCTCTGTGTTATACAGGAGCAGCCCTTCTTTCAGATCCTTCTTGGCATTATCATTCACCTGTGAGGGGTGGGGGAAGGACCACAGGTGAATGTCACAAGAATGTCACACAGTCACAATCAAAACTTTGGGCAGTGGCGTCAAACAGAGAACACTGATGTTGGGTCCAGGCCTAGTCACAAATTTTCTATGTGATCATAGGTAGACCACTTATAGAGTTTGGAGAGGAAAAGTACCTTAGACATCATCTAGCCCAATTTCCTCATTTGACAGATAAGTAAACTGAGGCTCTAAAAGGTAAAGTAACTTACCCAGAGTCACACAGGTAGAGGTGAAAGAGCCAGGTTTCTAACCCACAGACTCTGATTCTAAATCCAGTGTCCTTTCCACAAGGCAAGGCTGCCCTCATCTATATTTTGGAGGTTTCCGTTTCCTCTAAAAATGGAGGATTTAGACTAGACTTCTAGAGGCCCTTCTAGTTCTTATACTCTATGGTTTTAAAGGACCCTAGTTGTTTCGGGTGTTTTTGGGGGGTGGGGTGAGGCAATTGGGGTTGTGACTTGCCCAGAGTCACACAGCTAGTGAATGTTATGTGTCTGAGGCTGAATTTGAATTCAAGTCCTCCTGACTCCAGGGCTGGTGCTCTATCCACTGTGCCACCCAGCTGCCCTGTTTGGGTTTTTTTAAAAGGCCCTTTAGGGAATAAAACCAAGGCCCAACCTACCATGCTCCTGTCCCAACAGCTCACCTTGTCCATGTAGACAAAAAACAGGATGAGTAAGATCAGCTCAGCCAGGAGGATAACCAACAGGACTATGAAAAACTAGAAAAAGAAGAAGAGTTGCCACGTGACCTCTGGGTACAAAAATAAAAATGGGGGTCACAATGCACAGGAGTCAGGAGAGCCAGCCAGAGAGCAGGATTCCCGAGGAGAGAATGGTGCTCCCTCATCCCGGGACAGATCCTGACAATATGGGGGAACTGGAGGTATGGACAACAGGTGCCAGATGACAGAAACCAATTTTGGAGGAAATGTTGATATACACGGGAAGAGTTAACCAATCTAGTAAGGGATCAGGGAGTGAACAGGATACAATGTTTCAGAATATTGGAATCAGATATAAACCCTAGATAGATAGATATAGATACACACACACACACAGAGACACACACAAAGTAGGAAGCAAAGGATTGGGAGGAAAAGGAGGGAAATATACTTACACTGAGAAGGAGACATTTGTTTTCCTTGATGGCTCCAAGACAGCCCAGGAAGCCAGTCACCATGACAATAGTGCCAATAGCAATAACCAAATTGGCTGCTGACAGTGAAGGGAAACTGGGGGAAAAGGTGGCGAAGTTTCCCTGGGAGACGGAGAGCCAGATGCCCACCCCTAGCAACCCGCAGCCACACAGCTGGAAAGAGAAAAAAGGAAAAGAAAAACATTGTTAGGTACATAAAAAATAAAGCCTGCCATCTTCCCCCTCCACCACAAGGCACTACTTCTGTGGTTACTGGTCTCTGGAATGAAACAAAAATCTAGTCCCCACAGACAGCTTTTGACAAGTATGTCTTTACTATAGCCTCAGGAAATAGGGAAGGAGAAGGATATATTTACAGAGCTAACAGAAATAATAATTTATCTTTCTATGGTATTTCGAAGCTTACAAAGCACTTTCTTCATAACAACCCTGTGAGATGGGTTAGCATATTAACATCCCCATTTTATAGATGAGAAAATTGAACTTAGAAAGGTGAAATCACTTATACAAAGTTGTACAACTACTAAGTGTTAGAGCTAGGATTTGAACTAGGGTCCACTGACTCCAAGACCAGTATATTTCCTACTACCATACTCACTACTAACTACTACTACTACTACTACTACTACTACTACTACATACTCACTAAATATTCAAGACCTTTGGATTCTAGTCAAAATGCCCCAAATCCAATTCATCCATGGTTAAATGGCTGTCACCTAACATTCTATTATCTAATTTTCCAAATCTACAAAATGGGCTAATGGCATATGGGGATAACAATCCAGAAAAAAAATGTTAAAAATAAACTTAAAGAACTAGACAGACAGGAGCTAAAGTAAGATACAGAGCTGGGAGGCAAAGATTTATTCCTGGATAACTCTGGTAGCTAGATGATGCTCTGGGCATCAATCAATACAGTGACAATTAATCTAACTAAACCAGGACAGCCCACAAAATGATTCTCCTGATCTGAGGCTGCCATTGCTACTAATTTCACCCCAAAAAGGATTTGCTAGGTCTCCATTTCATGGAATCACAGAATCTCAGAGTTGGAATGAGGAAGTGTCCAACCCGCATCCAAACAAAAACTCCATCTACAACCACACCTGATAAGTAATCATCTATTTTCTACATAGACACTTCTAGGGTGAGAGAGCTCACATGGTAGGTGCTAGTCACTGCTAGCCATTGCTGTGTCTAAGACACAGATCCATCATCACAGAGGAATTCTCAAACAAGCAATTGTATCCAGACCCTGGGGAGCTTCAGTAATGTCCACAGACACATAAGACATTCCTGGGAAAATGCACAGCACACACTCTCCTGGATGCTTCTCCAGAACTTCGACCAAGCCAGCAGGAAACACAAGACAGGGATGAAGGAAACATGCACAAAGTGAAACACCTAGGTAACCCAAGGGATCACGACTGACCAACCTTACTACAGTGAGAGTCGTATCTGATTCTTCTTTCACCTTGAACTTGATCAATCAGCATTAGCAACACAGAAAAGCCCAGGATCAAATACACAAGCAACAGTTACACTGCCTTTCCCAGGTTAAACGCTACCTGGATATAGTCCCAACAAGAGTACAGATGCCCAGCAGGCAAAAATGGCCAAACTTGTCTCCTTCCTGCTTCAAGGGTTCCTTTGTGATGCCTTCGCTATGCCAATTCCTTAATAAGGTAGCCTGTTTAACTATCAGTAATGCAGAACCAAAAACCTGTCCCCTCCCCCATACATTCTTCCTAGTTTTCCCCTTTTAGTTGGAAATAGGGAGCTGGCCTCATAGCCAGGGTTCAAGTGCTGCTTCTGACACATACCGACTATGTGACCCTGAACAAATCACTTTATCTCTCAGTACCTCCAACAATTCTCTAAGACCAAAAGCTGCAGAGAAAGTACTAACTTGCATTGGTAAAGGGAGATAGTGTCCTCCTCTGGTATCTTCCAGTACCAATGAAATCACAGTTTTTGGTCTCTGTTCTTGTCTTTTCCTTCTTAAGTCACATAGAATAAATCTACCACATTTCCACAGCTGAGCTTTGGCTATCTGAAGGTAGCAATCATGTTCTCCGTGACTTCTACAAGCAAAACAGCTCTCCACTTCTTCGACTCTTTCCTCAGGGAATAAGCCTCTCACCAGGATGCATTCTAGTTTGTTAGTATTCCTCTTCATGGTCCAGATTATGTCAGTTTCCTCTAGGGTGGCCAAAACCTTCCTCTTAAAATGAGGGGCCTGAATGTCAGTTCTGGGCTGTGGCTATAGTCAGGCATAGCATAGGGTCAGCACAGGGGAGGGAAAAGGGAACAACAGATGTTTTTCCTAACACCTCCTGGGAAGAAGTTATTTTATTTTTTTAGCAGCCTACTTAACACCTACTTGTGAAAGGAAAGAAAAGCTGTATGCTATATGCACAGTAAAGAGTTCAGGCTTCACTTATCTTACTACCTATGTACATGTCGAGTTTTGCGGAGACAAGTTAAAGAGAGTTCTCAAACTAATCAGAATCTCAGACTCACGGAGCCCTACACTTCTCCCATATCCCTCTTGACTCACCCACTATTCAAGGGATTCTTAACCTTTTTTGTGATGCGGACACTTTGGCAGTCTGGTGAAGCCTAAGGACTCCTTCCCAGAACAGCATTTTTTTTGTTTTTTTGTTTGTTTGTTTTTTAAACTAATAACTGAAGGAAGTGCTAAATCTCATTTGGAAGTTAATGAAAATCAAAAGTAATCTTTCCCCCATCCAAGTTCACAGGCCCCTTGAGGATCTGTGGACCCCAGGTTAATAACCTCTGCTCTAGAGGGTCAGACTGAAGGAGCAGCTTAAAGGACCATTAGGTAACCAATCCTGACTCATAAATCCAGAAGAAAATTAACAGAAGAAAGAGGGATTTCACTTATTAGGAACAGTATGACCAAAAACATGGAGGTAGGAAGAGGTAAGATGTAGTTGAGGGAGAGTGAACAGACCAAATTTACCCAGATGTGGAGCTTCCTGTAAGGGTTGACCTGAGAAAAAGGGTAAATCGGGCCACAGCCTAGATAAGGAATACTTTGGAACTGGTTCATTTCCTTATTCCCATGCTGGGGCAATTCAAGAACAACAGCAAACAAAAAACCTATTAAGTGATACTTTCATCCCTTCTCTAACAATAATTTAAAAGAAGAGAAGGATATAACAACAATAATAACAAAAAAACAAATGGCTGAATCATGTAAATTTGCTTAAATAAACTGAGGTTTATGATCACAATACAGCATTAGTCATCACCCCTAGAAACTACAGGAGGGTCACCCTTAAGAAACCAGACTTAGCGACCTGTAATTTTGCAAGGAAATAGTAAAAACTGTGTACCACTTATTGGGGACTGTAAAAATGCAGCAGCTACCTAGCAAGACATAACCTAGAATTCTACATCAGAGGCTTGCTATCTTGGATGGACTGACAGACAACAAGTGCTCACACTATAAATACAGACCTCAAAATATCTTTGAGAATGCAACCAGTAAACTACATTGGACCCAGAGCATGATCATAGACCAAACTGTTGATCCTAGACCATTGCCAGTTGTCTTGGCTTTTGTCTTGCCACTGGAACCCAATGACTCTGGAGGAGAGAGGGAGGCTGAAGACTTCGCCTCACTTAAATCCAATTCAATCACAAGTAAAAACATCACCGTCATAATGTCACTGGTCCCCTTCGAGAGCAAAGAACGAACAAGAGACCAGACTGTTGCCCACAATCCCCTGGATATAACAATGATCCATAAAAACTTAAGAACAAGGTTTTTTCATAGATGTCACCATATCAAATACTCATAATCTCCAAAGTACATAGAATCAAAAGCTTTCAAAATACAAGTAAAGGAGACAGCGATGAAGAAGGTCAATAGCATGAGGTGCAATGTCATCCCCGTTGTCTTCTCTGCAGTTGCAGCTGTACCAAAAATGCTTCCAAAGAGCCTACGGAAGGCAAATTTACAACCCAATACTTTTATTCAACTATAAAAAGATTGTTATTTTATCCACATGTTCAATATTCTAGGAATAAAGGGACAGCATCAACAAAGAAGAATATGACAGGAAGAGAAGATGGGCCACTCGTGAGGCAAGAGTGAAAAATGATGGACAGGTGGAGAGCCAGAGTACTCCACCAAATGGGGGTGGGGTGGGGTAGCTGAGGAAGGCCTCCAGCACACTAGGTTGACCACATGTGGTACTCTTTTGGGGGTCACAGAGGATAGGCAAGTATCAGTGGGTTTCAATCTATATCACTGCAAAAAATTCCTGAATTGATGAGAACAGAAATCCACTTGGGTATTTGAGAGTGCAAATATAAAAGAATACAAGTGCAGATAACAACTTGTCCCAGGACTGTTTCTGTTGGAATTCCATTGAAAAAGAGAACAAGATTGATGATGATGACGATGATGATGATGATGATGATGATTAAACTGGGCACATTTCTTTAGTGCCTTATAAACCTTAAAAGCACCTTTCCCCTTCTACAAATAGACAAACTGAGGTTTAGAGAAGTAAAGCCATACTAGTCTACTTTCTATCCTCTGGCCTCATCTTATTCTCTTCATGCCTTTGCTCCTGTACCCTATAACCAAAGTGGATTCCTTCCCTCACCCCTACCTCTAATCAAATATCTTCCTACCTTCAAGGACCTACCTTCAAGAAGCCAACTCTCTTCCCCATAAAGCATTCCCAGATCTCTACCAGATGAAAGCAACTCTCTCCTCAAACATTTCTGGATGCTTTCTGTGTTCTCTCTTTTGTACTCATCACATTCTGTCTTATAACATTGTTATTTTTGTCTTACCTCTGCTAAACAATAATAATAGTGACTTAATACACTGCATAGCATTGTGGATAGAGAGAAGACCTTGGAATCAGGATGCCTATATACAAGTCCTCAATGTCCCCAAGTAACCATCGAAGACAACAACTTGCAGGATAGTTCTCAATCTGCAGTCCCAGAGAGTGAGTTTCATTACTGGGGTGCTCTCTACATCAATGAAATCCAGAGTCTAGGGGAAAAACCAGTACCTCAAATTTATTTAGTGCTTTGAGGTTTATAAAACACTCATCTCATAGTCCTATAAGATAGGTAGCCAGAGTATTAACATCTCCCTT